CAAACACAAAATAAATTCATATACCACATTTTTTATAATTGCCAAAATTATTTTACACGTACAGAAAAAGTCATTAATGAATTGATATTAAGTTATTAATGAAGTAAATGAAAACAAAATGCATATATTTTCGATAGCTAGAAACCGTGACATCGAACGTAGTAGTGCGGAGAGATTGCGAAAAATGTTACTAGAGATGGGAGATTCAATTCGTACCTTGCATTAGGAGGTGTGGCATAGCTCCAAATTTTAATTGCTCTATCCATTTTTTTCTCCCTTGTCATTGGGTTTGAATTTGATGCTTGGTTAGCAATTGTAACTTTTGAGTTTTATGTTTCTTGTTTTGTGTATTCTGATACTATTCACCTTCGGTGATCCGTTTGAATTATTATAAATCTCCAGACGTTTAAAAAAATGCATATATTTTATATATTTGTTTTCAGTAATAAACACATTACTATGGTTTGAGAAGAACACTTTTAAGTAACAATACAATGCTCTGTAATTTTGTGAAAATATGCATTGAGCTCTTCAACTTCAAGTAATTAAGTAAACACACAAAATGTACAATCTTCTTCTTCTGTAATGATATATCAGCGGCCTAACCGGTCTATACCGGATTTAGAGCGTTACATCTTCACTTTACGACCAGGCCCCTGATCCTCTTACGGCTCCAAAGACGATGATAATCGTAGCAACAATAGCCTGTGACACGGGTTAGTCAGAATCGACTTTAATGTGATCAATTCAGGACAATAGAAAAATGTGTATTGTTAAAGTGAGAGATATAAACAGAATATGAACTCACTCCAATTGTGCAAGCTATATATCCTGGTCTCTCACGCTGGTTTCTGGAGAATAGAAAAAGGAAAAAGCCGATGTACCAAGGGATCGCACCGAAGAAGAAACCGAGGATGAATCTACAAGAAACAAAAACCAAAAAAACATATATGTGGGTTTGTGTTTGCTCAGAAATTGCTTGACAAGAACCAAGAATGTATACATGTAAATATCAGAAGAAGATAAGGTGACATGATGAGTTAGAAGACTTACAATAACCAGCCAATGCCAATACCACAACAAGGAAGACGATGGTGTTCTGTTACAGGAGCAACAGCATAACCTAGAGAGAAACCAAATGACAACACAATCTTATTGAGAAAGCTATGTAGCTAAGCTAGCGGTTACTTGAATTCCCATGATGCCAAGAAAAGAGAATCTATATATGATTCAGCAAGAAATACGGTCTCAATTGTTTTTTTTTTT